TAACTTAACAGCTACAATAATCATATATTATATGGATGGATCAGATCAATGGCACACAATATGTACAAAACTAAATTTGTGATACCTTCTACTCAAACTGATATTCTCCCACAACACAAATTGTTTTTGTCTGGATATGCTGTGTTAAACCGAACAGTGTGGTATATCATTAACTGTGCACAGGATTGGAATTGAATTATATACTTCACTAATGACCTTCAAAACATTCTCTAGACCTTCAAAACATTCTCAGTGGTCTTTGATATATGATTGACTCTTCACTACAGTGATGCATGTTCAAGTGTAAACAAGTGACAGAACTTCTGCTTCATATGATTACAATAAAGTTTTGAAAATGGGTATGGATTGACAAGTGACAGTTTTCTAAATAGACACTTCGAATATTGTTTGCATGAAATTTTTATTTTTTGACTGCATAATTATCCGAGTTACAATGGGTCGTTCCAGAAAAGAACTGTACTCCCCCCACGGAGGAAATTTCTGCCATCCGGAGGGGGAGGGGAGAAAAAATTGTTTCTCATAATAGTAAATGTATTAGGGCATGCAAAGGGAGTAGGGGGGGTTAAATTCCTATTTCCTCTGTGGGAGTGGTATGAATGTTTTCTGGAATGACCCAATCGTCATCACAAAATATTAGTTAAATTTTCTCGGCATGGGGGGGGGGGGTGAGTTGCCCCTGCTGCCCTCCGTGCTGTCACAGAATAAGAAGGTACAGCAGAAGTTTTAACTCACTCACACCATCCTGGCCAGTACAAGGTTTTGGTAGGTGCAAAGTGCTGGTTGTACTAGCCAGGATGACGTGATTGATGACGAATCACTTGTAAAAACGCGGACAAATACTTGCTTGTGTTACACTTCTGCTGTACCTTCTTATTCTGTGGTGCTGTCTACAGCCTTGTTAGATTTGTACTGTTTGACTTTAAAATCTTATTTGCTATTATATTTATTATAATAAGTGATGAAAATGTGAATTAAATTCAGTGAAAGATATATCATGGGATTTCATTTTTGAAAACAATGATGCCTGCGAATCGTACAACAGTTTTCATAATAAAATTATACTTGCGTTTGAAAAAAGCTTTCCCTTAGCAAAAAGGAGAAAAAGAACTATTGATTATGGTAAAAGTCCTTGGATGACTCAAGGTATTTCAAAGTCTATAGAAATAAATCAATTTATTAAATACAAAAACAATAACAAAATGACATGGCAAACTATAAATCGAATATTAAATCGAAATAAAAACAAACAAAGATTGCCGGACACGTTTCAACAAAAGAATTCAGATGTTAGTTTTTCTGACCCAGTTGTGATTGCAAACAAATTTAATGAATGTTTTGTAAATGTTGGACCAAATCTGGCAAAAGTATTAAAAAAAATCACACAATAAAATTCGAAAATTATCTCAAAGGTAATTATCCAGAAAGTATGTTCGCTGAACCTATTACTGAATATCAAATAATAACTGAGATTGAAAAACTAAATACAAACAAAAGTGCAGGATATGAAATAAGTTCTAAAATGGTAAAAAATAAAACAGGAGATCAGTAAACCTCTTGCACATATTTTCAACTTAACTATTCAAAACGGAATAATCCCAGATTTGTTAAAAATAGCTCTTGTTACCCCTATTTTTAAAGCAAATGAGAAACATTTGTTTGAAGACTATAGACCAATATCGGTTCTTTCATGTTTTTCAAAATTGCTTGAAAAACTGATGTATAAAATACTTGATTTCATACATTGAGAAAAAAACAAATTTTATTCTAAACATCAATATGGTTTCAGAAAAAATCGGTCAACTGAACATGCTATTATTGAATTAACTGACAAAATATCAAAAGCTATAGATGAAGGTAAATTTACAATCGGTATTTTCCTTGATCTATCTAAGGCTTTTGATACAGTAAACCACAAAATTCTTTTAAAAAAACTTGAACATTATGGTATAAGAGGAAATTGTCTTAAATTGTTTGAGAACTACTTGTACAAAAGAACGCAAATTGTTAAAATTGGTAATCATAGATCAAACAAAAGCAATATCTACAGGAGTTCCGCAAGGATCAATTCTTGGACCACTACTTTTTCTCATATATATTTAATGACATTGAAAATTGTAGTGAAATTATTTCGTTTGTTATGTATGCTGATGACACTAATGCTTTTTATTCTGATAAAAATCTGAAATCATTAACAAACATCATGCAAGAAGAAATGAATAAAGTAACTAATTGGCTTAATGTGAATAAATTATCAATAAATACAACAAAAACTAAATATATTATTTTTAAATCAAGCAACAAGAAATGCGACACTGAAATTAATATTCAACTAAATCATAACACAATACAACAGGTTACTCATGTAAAATTTTTATGTGTAATAATAGACCAAAATCTGACGTGGAAGAACCATATAAACTTGGTTTTGAAAAATATGATTAAAGCCACTGCACTTATTGCAAAACTACAACATTATACAAACAGAAATACGCTAAAATTAATTTATTATGCATTGGTTTAAACATTTCTTACTTATGGGAATCTAACATGGGGAAATACCTACCCAACAAGGCTTCAAAAGTTGCTGAATGTACAAAAAAAAATTATTAGACTGATCATGCCTTTAAATCCTATCTTGAACACACTGAACCGTTATTTCACAAGTTGAAGATCTTAAATATTTTTAGGATCAATGATTATTTAAGTTGCTTATTCATGTACCGTATTAAATACTTCCAAAATTTACCTGAATTTTTTAATAATTACTTCACACAGAATAGTGAAATACATCGTTATAATACTCGAAATGCAAACAAATTTCACGTTAACTATAGAAGAACCAATTATGCCAAACATACCGTTATTAACAAGGGAATTGAAATATGGAATTCCCTTGATGAAAAGATTAGCAATATTAGGTCTTATTTTACTTTTAAAATAAAATCAAAGATATTCTTTTTGGAATATATTTGATTGTCATCAAACTAGTCATAATGTTTGTATATACGCATCAGAAAACACAAAGCCTTCATGTCTTGTATATAGAAAAATAATTTTTAGTTAAATTAAACTTTTCTTCTTCTTAATACTTAGTCTAAGACTGTCTTAGTTATGTTATAATCATTACTTGTAAATATTCTATTCGACTCTTAAAAATTATTCTTATGAACATTGTAAAACTTGGTACCTCTTACCAAAAAGCCTGAAAGGGTTTCATTAAGGTCCCTAGCCCTCACTAAGCCGCGGTATTGCAGAATATACACAATATACTCCACCAGTATACAGTGTATACATATACTTTAATTAAAGTATATACTCATCTACTATACACAGTTGACAATATACATATTTATATAGTCAAAACTGTATATACTGTATATTCTCGCTTTTATCAACTTGCTAGTCTATATATAGTGTATATTGTGTATATTGTGTATATAGTGATATATATATATATACAAAATATACACAATATACAGGTCTATATACTCAAAACTGTATATACTGTATATTCTCGCTTTTATCAACTTGCTAGTATATAGTGTATATTGTGTATATTGTGTATATATATACAAAATATACACAATATACAGGTCTATATAGTCAAAGCTGTATATACTGTATATTCTCACTTTTATCAACTTGCTAGTCTATATATAGTGTATATTGTGTATACAGGTGACTGTGGTAAAGGTATAATATAACAATAGAACAATTAATAGGTAAGTTATGCTCAAATAAGCATTAAAATTTTCAATTGTCAGAAGTAAAGAGTATATAGTAAGTTCATATATAGGAAACAATAGACTATACATAATACTACTAATAATAACAATAATAAATAAATATACAAAAACCGAAAGAAATTGGGTTACACCATCAACGTACGTTCCATACTTTACGAGCCTTTACCAGCTAATTATGACAATACCGAAATATTAAAATATCACTTTACGACTAAAATAACTACAAAATGTAATGACTGTCTTGTTGTTTTTGTGCAGATCATTACACAAACTGCAGCAATAAAAGCCAAAAGCAACAAAGAAAACTGGGAGTAACAAAAAGATAACAGACATGTTGGGGGTGAAACGAAAATCATAGAACGAGGACGAACTCGCAGCAAAGAAATCAAGGGCGCCAAGGGAAGAAGACATTGATTCAGACTTTGACCTACTGACTGTGAAAAGTAAATAACGTTTTTCGACTTTATAAACAGACATAATTGAGGGGCCTGTACCGGGTTCTGAAATCCCGCCATCCCAACCAATTTTCACTTAAAATCTCGTTATCCCACCATGCCTCATCGCAATTCCCCGTTCCCAACTTTTTTTCTGATACTGCCCAAGGTAGTTGTAGGATCTAGCTAGGTCAAGCCCGAATTTAGGGATTAACCCGCGATTGGACAAAGACGAACACATGTTTTGCTTTATATTCGAGAGACGAACTCGCGTTGATTTGTGTGCTCTATAAAAGTTGTTTGAACGTTGTAGTGTTGTAGTATAGCCAGAGGACTAACAGTCAGGTATTTGTCTTGTATTGTTTTATTGTTTGTAATCGTATTTGTATAGTTAAATATCTATGTTTTGTAAATTTATTGTTTAGAAACCACACGTTGACACGGACACAGTGAGATTATATATTTTGACTTTGTATCAATAAATATTATATATCCTTTTGGACATTTGGATTGTTTATTCTACCGGAATATATCGTGCGTTTCGCTGACGTTTTATTGGGGAAATACTGCAACTTACAGTTTCTGACTACCTTCACGGTATTTATATTTGAAATTTGAATTGATGACATTTCCGACATTTTTGTATGCAGATATAAATTGTCTTACATGAAGTTCTACGTATTGGACGAAGCTTTATGATTATCTTACATGACGTTTACTGGTTGAACGCGATTTAAACTGCCTTAATTGGTTCGCATTTACGGATATTTAGAGTCTTTTTTTTCGATATTTACTATCAATGAGTGAGAAGAGGAATTATACGGGACGTCTGGATATGGATGTCGTTAGGGGTACTAGGGGCCCCCCTCTACCCGAAGAACAATCCGGGTATTATTCAACCGAACGAGTAAGAAGTTCGGGTTATTTACTGCAACAAAGGCAGGAACATTTGGATTATACTGCAGAATGGGTAAACAGAGTCGAATTGCCAGAGAGAGCCCATTCTACTTGCCCAGTCAAGATTACCGAGCCTATTGTGGGAGAAACCCGGCAGAGGGTAACTCGATCTGCCCCTGCACTTAGCATCAGGTCAGGAGTGTTGAACAGGTCCACTATTGTCAGAACTAAACTCGAACTAGAGTTGAAGCATTTAAAGGAAAAACAGAGACTAGATCAGGAACAGAGAGAGTTACACTTAGAAACGCAAAGACACGAAATGGAACAACAGAAGAAGCTAGCTGAGCTGGAAGAAAGGTGCAGATTGCATGAATTAGAGGTAAGATTGGCAGAAGCACAAATGCAAGAACAGCTAGAACATGATGAGGATGATCCAGATTCAAGGTCAAATCGAGGTGATGATTATCCAGAAAGATTGGATCACTTGGAGGAACAGGTTGATCATCCTATAGCTGCTAGTGGTGTGAACAACAACATTGAAACCTCTACGAGAGACACCACAGATATCCCAAGAGTCACATTAGCTAATCAAACAAGTTTGGAGACCCACAATTCACCATCAGCACAGTTACCAGAGACTACCCGAAATGGCGAGATTCCACCACAGCCGAGTCGAATGCAACCATTTCCAAACCACCCCCAGTGTAGTCCACCATATGCAAGAAGACCGCCACGGGACGGTGACCAGCAACCGTCATCCCATGATCGCCTACCATTGGAACCAAACCCACAATCAGGGCAATCACTTGGTTGTTATCGTGAACAATCACTCAATATACAAGGGCGGCAACCCCCCGTGTTTGTTCCCCGGTATCTCAGTGGTCAACACAACCCACAACATTTGGGGACCTATATCACCAATAATGTATCATTACCAGAACCCGATACCACTGCCCAGCAGATATTTGAGCATCAACAACAAGCCCTCAATTTGATGGCAAGCACAATTGGAACTACCATAAGCAAGGGATTCGAAATGCCACGAAGAGAGTATATGACCTTTGATGGCAACCCGTTGACCTATCCCAGCTTCATGGAGAATTTCAAAACTAATGTAGAAGACATTGAGCCCAGCCCTAATGCTAGACGTAACTTCCTGATACAACTATGCAGTGGAAAGGCGAAGGAAGCTATAAGTGGAACAGTAATGTTACCTGCAGAGGAAGGTTATATTAAAGCCAAGTCTATCTTACATGAGATGTTTGGACAAACACACATAGTCGCAGCATCCCACATCGATAAAATCACTGGAGGGGGACCAATCAAAGAGAACGAGAACGAAAGATTGATGCAGCTTGCACGAGATATGGAGAATTGCGAGATGAACTTGAACAAACTCGGCTATCAGGCTGATATCAACTCAAGAAGCAACATGAGTGCTGTAGTCATGCGTCTCCCAAGATATCTTCGTTCGGAGTGGGCCAAAGAGGCACAAAACTCAAGAGATCGGAGTAAAGAACCAGACTTTGCGCAGCTGACGAGATTTGTTGTTAAGAAGGCAAAGCTGGCCAACACTGAATATGGTCGACTCATAAGTGCAAGATCCAACAACGAAAGGCGAATTTGGCAAGGGGCCTCGAGTGGGCAGGAATGTGTCGACTTACCTATCACACGGTTCAAACACGGAGATAAAGGGACATTTTGGGGATCATTCAAGGCATGGGAACCCGACGGGCAGACCAAAATGTTTATGTTGCGACAGAGATGGTCACACGATCGAAAAGTGTTTTAAGTTTCAAGGAAAGCCCTATGAAGAGCGAAAGAGCATCGTAAACACGAAGAGACTGTGCAACCTTTGTCTCTGCAAGGGTCATTTCGCCAGTAATTGCAAAAGGAGTCGTGGCTGTTTTGTTCCAGGATGCGGAAAGCGCCATCATCCAATGCTCCATCCCGCAGAGACTGCCAAGGACGGAAAGAAAGACGTGCCAGAAAATCAAAACGAAGAGAGAAAACCAGACTCACACGCAGCTCCAACCGGAAATGTTCAGACTGGTCACTGTGGTGCCACCGGAACCATCAAGAATCGAGTGTGCTTACGAGTAATTCCTGTAAAGGTGTTTGGGAAAGATAGAAGTTGTGAGAAGATAACTTATGCAATAAGAGACGAAGGTTCAAATACCACCCTTGTGAAAGAGAGTCTAGTCGAAGAATTGAACTCGAACGGACAGCCAATAGATTTCACGCTCACTACAATGAATAATGTGTCACAAGAATCGGGGAGATCTCACTTCTTATACGTTCAAGGTTTGGGTCAGAAAGACTGTCTCGAAATCCCAAATGCTTTGTCGGTAAAGTCTTTGTCAGTCGCAAGAAGTTGTATCCCAAACAAAGAAGACATTGCTAAGTGGCGTCACTTCGATGGAATTTCTATTCCCGAGTTGGATAATACGGAAGTGACTATTCTGATCGGTACGGATGTTCCTGAAGCACACTGGAAGTTGGAAGAGCGTCGAGGTCGTAAGAAGGAGCCGTACGCCATTAGAACGCCCCTTGGCTGGTCAGTCGCTGGTCCAATGGAGAGTGCGTCTGCGAACGAAGTGAGTTCCTTCTTTATTCGGAGTGAGGACGATATCTTGACGGAGAAGGTGAACAAGATGTTCCAAATGGACTTTAGTGAGACGACGTATTGTCAAGATTCGGAGATGTCGCTGGAAGACAAAAGGGCTCTGGCCATCATGGAGCAGTCACTCATTGTCGTGGACAGTCATTAC